TCAACCAATCAGATCGCAGCTTTCTTATTAATTTGGTTATCAGATTCGATCTTGTGATCCTGTAATCGGAAATGGATGATCTATACCTCATTAGAACCGTCTCAGTGAGCTGATTCGATTGGTGGTGGTTTCATCAAATTCTGTTCAGTAGTTCAAGAGTTATGGTCGTTTTTGTAGGTTAACAATATGATGCTAACTAGTGTGAGTAGTAGAAAGACAGTGCCAGAAGCTCATTATAACAGGTAATTAATGTAGCATAGTAATAAATAAATGACTATATCAATCATTTATTTTAAATAAGTTTACTAATAGTATACATTGTATCAGCTGTATACTTGGTATCAGATTGATGATTTATAATGATGAGATAAAAGAGATTAACAGGATCAAAAATATAATTAAAATAATTATTAGAAACATTATAATCAGTATAAGTAGCATAAACATTATAAGTAGTATAAGTAGTATATCATGAATAAAAGATATAACATGTTCTATATATATAAAATTATATAACAAAGACTTTGAGCACTTTAAAAACAGTTCAGTTAGTGCTTAACAAACATTTTACTCTATAATAATTCTCTGTTTTATTATATAATACAAACCATATTTACAATCATTATTATACACTCTCAAATATAACATGTCTCTTTTACTAAACCTAACTTTTAGGTTATACAGCATACCCATTTGTCAAGCAACTGACTCATCATTTTGACCATATTACTAGTAATGTGCAAATTCTAATTTTTTCTTATTTTATATACATAATATGCATTTTTCTGTATATAGGAATTATTCAGAATCTTTATGAGTTTTTAGAATATTCTGGAACTTATTGAAAATTTTCAGCTCATATTATCTATAGCATTATATTGCTTCACCATTATTATAAAAATTATATGCATGTTATGTACATTGCCTATCACTAATGCTAACAGATGTTTGTTAATTATCTTTTAACAATTATTATTATATTTATTTAAAAGAGATTTGTTAATACCACTCTTTACTTTTGATAATGATACCCCTTTATATAAAATATTTAATCTTTGATCTTTTAGACTCTAATTATTAATTAGGGTTAGATTATGTAAGTGGTAGTATTAACAAAAATAAGGAATGACATTAACAAGTCTCTATTTAAAATTACTGTAAAACTCAGAAAATAAGCACCTTTTTTTAATTAGTAGTGGTATTTTTTTTCTAATTATTCAAAAAATTGATAAAGTATATTTGATATGCAATATACAATATGTCATATAAAAAAACATTAGTCTGCAGTTATAGCAATTAATTTAATCTTTATTAGAAGATACATAATATTGACATACTAGTTTGATATAAATTAATAACCTTGTTGTATGAATATTGATACTTACCAATAAGTAATAATGCCAAAAGAATAAAGAAGAAGTTATATTGTTATCTTTAAACTTGAAGTTATTGACTATGTAAAGCAGACTAGCAATTGTGCTTCAGCATGAAAATTTGATATTAATCATGCAATAGTTAAGCATTTTTGTGAAAAAGAGAAAAAATTTAGAGCAGCAAAAGTTCTTAGTCGATAAGTAGGATTAGATCAAAAAGCAACATATCTTTTTGCAGAAGATGCATTAAAAGAATGGATTAATGAACTACGCAATGAAGGAATTGTTGTGTTAACTTCTGCTATGAAGCTTAAAATGCAGAATTTGTTCATGAATAATTATTTTATACATTATCCAAATGTATTCAAAACATTAAAAGCATCCAATAACTGGTTTTATAGTTTTATAAATCAGTATGATCTTTCACTCATTGTCAAACAAAACTTGAACAAAAGTTGTCATAGAATTTATAAGAAAAAGATTTAAGTTTTCATAGATTTATTAAAAATGCATATTAAAACAATAATTTTGATCTTATTTGTATTGGAAATATGGATGAAACTCCAATTTTTTTTAATATGGTTAGTCAACTTATGGTTGATTATTATTGTACTAAAACTGTACAAATCAAAACTATTGGTAATGATAAAAACCAATTTCTTGTATACTTTCAGATTTGACTGATAGTACAAAGCTTTCTTCAATGGTAATTTTTAAAGGAAAAAGATTACCTAGGAGTCCTTTTTCTTTTGGTATATTTATTCGAATACAAGAACAAGAATGGATGAATAAAGATTTAATGATAGATTGGATTGAGAATGTATGAAAAGAAAGAAGCACAGATGTTAGACAAAAATCAAGTGCAACTACTGAACAAAAATGATGTTTACTAACTCTAGATGCTTTTAAAGAACATCTAACTAATCAAGTCAAAGTAAAATACACAAAATGTAATACTATAATGAGTGTTATACCTAAAAGACTTATATCACTTGTTCAATCTTTGAATATTAGTATTAACAAACCCTTTAAAGATCAGTTACATTAAAAATGAAGACTTTGGATGGCAAATGGAGAAATGCAACTTACCTGTGGAAGGAATTTTAAAAAACCAGCTTATAATTTGATGTGTCAATGGATCATTGATGCTTGGGAAGATATTCCTGCTGAACTTGTTAAAAATTCTTTTAAAAAATGTGGAATCTCAAATAAACTTGATGGAAGTGAGAACTATCTAATGTATAAAGAAGAAAAGAATAATACACCAGAGGAACCATTTATTGTTTTAGCAGATGATTTAGAGGGAGATCAAAAAAACTCTTAAAAATATAATATTTAAAGCAGAAGGCTAAATTTCAATTATTCTAGTTATTCTAGTTATTCACAATCTGTATGTTAATATATGCATGTAAATTAAACTAATGCTATCACTATTAAAGTTGTAAATTAAACTGTCGCTATTGCTATTGAAATTATTTGAAGTAAATTCTGTGCTTGTCGCTAACAATTATCGTTATATTGTATGTATATATGTATATATTTAGTAAATCAAGATGTTCTTAAAGATTAATTATGTGCTAGATGCATATTGATATGTACTGTATGTATATCGGTGCTACTAAATCTTGGGTCGATCAATTTGTAGAGGGCTTATTTACAGACTATAAATTTTATTATAGAGGGTGTTAATTCATAGTAGGTGCTTATTTTCTGAGGTTTACGGTACATCTTATTTATAGCCTATACATCTTATGTGTAAAATTGGTCATTAACTGAAAATTTGCCACTAACATTTTTAATAATTCTTTTTTCTTTTTTTACAACTATCTACTTAATGAATTTATTTATTGGATTGTTGTCTGATTCTATCAGTAACACAAACAAAAAAACCCATATTTACTTCAAATTGTAAAGGTAGTATTTTTTATTAAAATGAGTGCTGTCAAGGGAAAACATGTCCAGATTGTTCTCTGAGTGTGGTCTAGGAAAAATTTATCATCGGGGTTTCAATAATATTTATTGACAAGTCATTATAAATATAATCGAAAGTTCGATGATAAATTTTTCTAAACGACACCCAGAGAACAAACTAGACTCAAATATTATATATAATGTTTTACTTTTAAAATTTTAATAATTCTTGTACTTTTTAAATAGATCATATATGAAATAAAACTTTTTTATATGCTACCTTATCAACGAAAAAAAAAGAATTGGTTTCCTGAACTATTGTAAAGATTAATTATTACAATTTATTGTAAAAGATTTGTTTAATTTTAGTATTTATTAATTTTTAAAGATTTTACAGATTTACTTTTGATAAACTTTATAATATAGTCACTAAATTCAAAATGATAACTGGGACGAAGATACTATTGAAGCACCATTTCTTCCTAAGTCGCTATTAAAAATCATTGGTGAAGCTGAAGATAAAGATGCGATTCAAAACTTAACCGATGAAAAAATGACAATCCAAAAATTAGAGGAAGCTGAAAAAATAATTCGAGTTAAAAAATATTTTTGAAATAAAGATTGAATAAAAATTATTTTAGTCATTTTATTTTTGTTTAAAATTATTAACACCACACATAATCCATATAACTTATCTAAATAATCTATATACTTATGCTTATTATTATTAAACACACTTATTCGAGACTAGAGCAGTGGAATAATTCTTTCCAACTATTAGAAACGCACCTATGGTGTTTTGTACCTATTATATATTTTTTAAAATTTTCTAAGCTTTTATAAGTTTTGTTATAGAAATTTTTGACTTAAATTTATTCACGCTAGGATTAGTTTTTAAGTTAGTATTAGAGTTTGGGAAGGGTTTTCAGGGGCGCAGAACAGTTTTACTTAGAACACCTTGTACTGATTAGTTAACCAGTTTTTGAGATAATGCATGCATAAGTATAAAACACCATAGGTGCGTTTCAGTAAAATTCATTCTTTCAAGCTCTGACACCTATAAATAATCTTAAAAGTTGATTGACATAATATCGAGGTTTGTGTCACATTTGTATCTACGGGACTTCTCAGTGTTGTCAAATGACAATACGTATCATGTAATGATATGGTTATATGATACAGAATTATATGTCATATGCCACATTATATAAAATCATGTCATATTTATTTGTGATATGATCGTCCAACACTGGACTTACTTTTTTGAAATAAATTGCGGTAACAAATAAAAGTATATAATAATCTTTGAAAACTTGATTAACATGTTATTGAGAGTTTTGAGTCAATCAACAGTGATGAAAGAAGTTTATGAGAAGGAGCCGCTACGTCTGTTATACCTTCCTAACAAATTTTCGCTCATTATACGTAATACATATAAGCATACGTATAAAGACTCTCGCATAACATCAATAACATGCATAAGTATTTTGCCCGAAAAGTCACCTAAAATTGGCTGTCCAAAACATTGATAAGTTAATAAGATCATAAAATCACCAGATTACTACATTCAATCAAAATCAAGATTTTGTGGACGGACGCAAAACACGAATGTAAACCATACACTACGTACGTACGTTGTACCACCGAAATCACAATCGTATTTTTTTTTTGCCTTTTTTAGAAAACGATGAGTACGTGATGTTAAATGAAACTAATGTACGACTTAATTCAGTAATTAATTTGGTCATAGACACATTATTTTTTTCGATTTGGATTTGGTTGGTTAGAAAAAATCAACTATGCTATAGAACAATCCTTCAAAGTTTAACAGTTTCTATTTTATTAGTATATATAAATACTACCAATACACTTGAGCTGAAGTAATAATGGGCCAAAAAAATCATGAACAAATCCGAAAACAGTGATACATGATAACAACAGCAATAACTAAATCCATTGATCATGCAGATCTATTTACAATCGCTAATACAAAATAATTGTCGACTGATACTTAAATCCATGATACTTTTTCTCAGCCTCAATCGAATTAGAAATAGGTTTATCAGTAAATGTACTGACTAGTGGATAATTGGTATTTTATTAGCAACTAGCATTATCATTAATAACTTTATAATTTATTATTTAAAGATCCCGTCCTGCCTTTCTAAAAAATTTCAGATTCATTATATCTTGAAAAAAGCACTCATGTCTGACCGACCACTTGGGCCTTTTCCTACTCCTGAGACCTATCACCCAATTATTCAGGGGCTGATAAACATGATTAAACGCAATTCTTGGGAGGACAAATTTGTTAAAGCGGTTTCTGATGCCTACAAGACAGGTGTCGAAGAAATGGCTAATATAATAACTTTGACCGACTATTACAATTTTCTTCATTACTTGGTGTTGTGGGTACCCACAGAGAATGAAACAGGATCTATTGTTTACAAAATGCTTTGCACGATGTACTTTATTCTCGATCAGAAATCTGTCAAACCACTCCAGTCACCCATTAAGCCTTCGCCGTATCCACCACCGCCATTGACAGAGCTTTCGCAATGGATAATCTATTTTGCCTGTATGATGGGACAATTTCTTAATACACCTCAATCACTTACTGAGGAATCTCTGAAGACTTTTTATATGTCAGATAAGTACAACATGAGTATTTATGAGCCTCCCCGAGATGGCTGGCGTTGTTTTAACGATTTCTTCGCGCGAAAACTGTTGCCAGGAGCCCGACCCATTGACAGCCCTTCTGATCCAAGGGTTATTGTGAGTGCCGCAGATTCAGAGTTTCATGGCTGTTGGAATATCAATGCTCATTCAATTGTCACTTTAAAACACATCCCCTGGACTATTGGCGAGTTACTTGCAGACAGTAAGTACTCAAGTGAATTTGCCGGAGGAAAATTTATGCACGCATTACTTTTACCAGTCGACTATCACCGTCAGCATGCTCCTATCGATGGCAAAGTGCTCGAAGCTAAAGTCATCCCAGGACAGGCTTATCTCGAAGTTATTGTTAAAACAGACTCCAGGAACAAACTGATACTCACACCTAGTCGAAAAATTATAAAAACGGATCAGCCAAAAACAGAGATCAATGCTCCGGACTCTCCAGGGTATCAATTCTGCCAGACACGTGGTCTGATTGTAATCGAATCACCAAAAGTTGGATTAGTGGCTGTTTTACCAATTGGTTTGGCTCAGGTGTCTTCTGTGGTCCTCACCACTCGGGTAGGGGCCGAAGTAAAGAAAGGAGATGAAATATCTTATTTTCAGTTTGGTGGATCTGACATTGTCCTTTTATTCCAGAAAAATGTTAAAATAATTGCTAAAGTAAACGAACATTATAACGTGGGCAAACAGATTGCAGTTGCCCATATTGCTGAAAAATTATAATATAAAAATATGTAATTTTTTTACATTAAATTATTATAAAATTCTATAATCTTCTGAGATCTATGTAATCAAAATTTTATAAAACCAGACATAAATTATTACGGGTCTATCATCACTTCTGATACATCAACCTGATACATTTGAATTAAAATGTAATTATATAAAATTTTACATATTAACTTACAATTAAATAAAATATATTTAATATTTAAAGATTTGTCGAATATATTTATAATAAAAAATTAAATCAATTTTTTTGATTACATATTGTTTAAAAAAATCTCAAAATTGATTAATTTTTTTAAAAAAAATTAAAAGTTTGAAATTTTTTTATATAGTTCTAAATTAACCAATTACAATTAAGTATTTGTTTGTGTTACTACGCAATACCTTAGTGTAACCTTGATGTATAAACTTGCTAAATTTCAACTATGATTATTATGTAAAAAAAATTATAATAAAAAGAAAATTATCTTTTAAATTAGTTTACTATATAAAAAATTAATAATTTTGTATAATAAAATTAATAATATTTATATAAAAAAGTAAATAATTATAAAATTTTTTTAGAATTTAAAAATTTTATTTATATTTATACATAAAAATAAACTTCTTAACATATATTTTTTATTTATATTGTTTAAAAATATATTAATTATTAATTTTATAAACTTGTTATATAAGTATATTTTATATAAAAATTATTATATTTTTTATATTTACAAGTATTTATTTATAAATTATTCTGATAAAATTTTTTTAAAATTTAAAAAAAATATCTTATATGTAAAATAATATAAAAAACATTTTTACTTAATAGATAAAATACAATTTGTATAATAAAAAAAGTTATAAATTAAAAACTATATAATTAAATATTTTTTTTATAAATTTGTAAATTGATAAGAAAAAATATTTAGTTAAAATATAATAAATTTTTTTTTTTTTAATGTTAAGATGAGTATATGTGATCCAGAATTTTATTGGTAGTATCAGTTAGCTAACATTTGTTAACATAACAGTGCAGAAGTATTCATAAAAAGAGTGTACAACTAGTTACTTGTACAACTTTAGTCATTGTCTAATTTAAGTAATCTGTTTAAAAGTTTTATACTAGTTGCTATATCTAGAATTTGCCTGTAGGACCTCTATTTAAACACTCTGATTCTGTATACATCACACTCTACCAATAATTCTAGTAACCTAGTGAAGATATATCATAATCACTAAGTTATGTTTAATTTTGTTCTAAACTTACCAGTGCATTCTGTATTCTATACTTACAGCTCACCTAGTATTGCTTTGGCCTAAACCATTACTTACAGTTAGGGCTAATCATTAAACCACTTTTACTCTTGTATAGTTTACTCAAAACCCTGGTACCTATCTTTCTGATGACCTTTTTATTGTCCTTTACTAACTGCTACTCAGAACTAACAAGACTTCCTGAACTTCCAATTCAGATGACCTGGTATAGTATACTTTAGTATCCTTTTCCTCTGGTAATTCTGGCAATCTGGTTAGTTATATGCTTCTCTACACATCTTGGCATTCAGTTTATCTGCCTATCTTTTTGGAGTTGTTTCATGAGTTTCTATTAGTCTGACAGCATTGTCAAAAGTTTTGTGCTACCTTTTTACTTAGAATTTCCAAGTAGGTTTCTGACTCTTTGGTTTTTCAATTTCCATGCTCAGTGGTCTTATCATGGGTTTGCACTGAAATCTTAACAATACTGGTTATACATTCTTCTATTTGAGCATAATGTTATACTTAGCATAGATGTCCTAAGCTCTTATTCGAGATAGTGCAACTAAAGGTTACAGATATACTAATCCAACTGATTAACAGAGACAGTTACTGTAATACAGACCTATTTTTCAAAATTCATCATCCATGGGATTTGAATTCTAGATTTGCCACTTGGGGATTAACAACCTGACTACTTCACTAGGTCACTACACTTCTATATAATAAATTTATTTTTAAATTTTAATAATATAATATATATAATTCTAAAAATATAGTTTAAAATAACAATCATTAGATTTAATATTATTAATAAGCATTTTGATTTATTTAATAAAATATGATGTATCAGAAGTGATGATTTGACTTATATATATTTTAGAATTTGGTTTATAATTATATATGATAAAATGGTTAAAATCTTATAGAAATTTGCAAAAAGAGTGATTTTATAATTGCATAATTTTATGAAATGATCAGTTATTGGTTATTTCAAAATTAAATGACTTAGTAGAGTTATTTAAAATATAGTATTTATAATTTTATTTGTAAAAATATGATTGGTCTATTTTTGTTTTAGCTAATATTAACTGATGCTGAGATTTGGAGTCTTAATTGAGACCATTAAACCTATATATGCTCTTTATTAACAATTCTAATCATAAATTCTAATCTAACTCTAAAAAAAACCCAAAAATGTTTATAGTATTATATCAAAATAGTGACAATTCTTAGCATTAGTTGATTTAAGATTCAGTTACAATAATTATTTAATTGAGTAATATACGTGTGCTGCCAAGAAGAAACCCACAAACTTAGAATATTCTAAAAAGATGTTATATTTCTAGGTTTGATTAATATCTAGCAGTTTTTTTTTTACTATTGTTTAGCATTCTAATTGTTAATAATATGGTATTAGGTATTGAGTAATATACTCAATAATTGCAAAAGTTATCATTTGCTTAAAAAATCTGAAAACTTTTAATCATTTTAATAAATACTTACAACAGATATGAATAAACTCAAAATGGTGCAATGATGCCAATTAGATAGAAAATGAAATAATTCTAGTAATAATAAGATATTGTTTAGCTAAAATATATACATATATACAAATATTATTTAAAAAATTTAAATAATGTTAGCATAATATAGGAAAATGACATTATTCTAGGCCATCTAAATTCCAGTTAGAAAAAAAGCTAAACAAATTAATAAAGGTTAATAACCAGTTAACAAATAGTTAATAATTTTAAAAAAATAAAAATGCAAGAAAACTAGATGGAAAAAATATTTTTTATTTAGAATACTAATATTAGGATTGATATTTTTTGTCCTTTATTGGAATTTTTACCTGTTCTAATTGTAATCTATTGCTTTATTCACTGAATAAAAAACTTATATTTTAACTGAATAATATCTTGTAATATATAGTACAAATTATAACTTATTTATTGGATATTATAAGTATTTACTAGTAAATTTATTCAAATACTTATATTACCTAATAAGTTATTATTTGTACTATATATTATGAAGTATTATTTAATTTTTTTAAACAGTGATCATTTCATTGGGTATTTTTAATATATATTTAATAACCATATTTTTATATGTAAGAAATACTTCATTGCATTATCTTACACAAAAAATGTCCATTTGTTAAAATTACAAACAATGTAATAATGACAAATAATTTGTAAAATAATTAGTATAATTATTAATAGTCTATATTTCAAATATTAATGATTTTAATTGAAGAAGTTGATAACAAGCTATAGTAAAAACTGTTACAGCTTTGTTATAGTATAAGTCATAGTGGTTTCTGCTATCTTTAATTAATATACATGTATAATTAAATTAACTAAAGCTCTTTCCTGAAGTTTAGTTTGAGCATAATTTTGCTACTATTTATTGAAGTAAAAAAGTAGACTTCTAGTTTTGAAAAAAAATTTTTTAGAGAAAATTTAAACTTAGCTTTTTTTAGTAGTATGCTAGGAAAGGGAGCTAGGTTTATTGAGTTTTGATATTTATTTGACTTTACATAACTATAAATTAGAATTTTTAAAAAATAGTTTAATATTTTTTAAAGAAATAATTGCAGTTGTGAATAAAGGTCAAATTCCAAATAGCTGCTAAATTTCTATTTAGATTAGGGCTATTATCTAATTGGATCACAAGATCAGATATGACATAATTAAAAAAACTAAAAGATGATGTATTCAATTAGCATGAATTGATAAATAATATAAAACATCTTTAAAATTTAAATCAAAAATTACACAGATTTTTTACAATCAATAGAATGTCAACTTTATGTTATTAGAAGAAAATCTAGTTAAAGCTGTTGTATAACAATCATCAAAAATATAACCAGAATCATAATCTGGATTATGACCCAAAATCAATGATCATGTAACCCAATTTCTTCTCATTGTATGCAAGAGAAGCCTCAAGATTTGGAACAAGGCACTTACAATTGTAAGCCTGAGCCCTACATGCAACAATTATCACTAATCTAAAAAAAAAGAAAGACTTAGTAGAACCACCATGATGTGCAACAAGAAACAGATGTGATACTTACTTTTACGGGCTTACAACAGAGTCTTCAACTTGCAAAGATGTTTAGAGAGATGTGGCTATAGCTCTATCAGTGGGATCTATAAAAAAGAGAAGGTAATTAAAAGATGGAATCATGAGTCAAAAGGTGGTATTGTACAATAAACAGAAAAGGAAACATTAAGGCAAGAAAGGGTGAATGTTCTCAAGCATACTTCCCTGATAATTCATTATAAAAGCCCTTTATTTTGTTGTTAAGTGGGATAGGACCCTTCTGAGAACCCCCTATAACCCCTCTGCTCTCTATACTCCTGTAACTTAAAGAAAATTATAATAAATTAATAATAAATAAAACATTTATAAAATATAAAAAGTGTCAAGAGTGTAATAGATATAAAATGTTCATTTGAAAAGTTTTTATATGTACCTAGTAACTTACTCAAGAGCTGTCTTAGCCATTGCAAAATTATATTGCCTCATTTCACTTTTGAGTAATATTACATAATGTCAATGATTTTGAAGTGACAATCTATCACAGTTGCTTCATCCTAGGATTCACCCCAGTAACCTGTAACAATATGCAAAATAACCTAACAGCTAATAACCAAATAACCTTGGTCATTTGGAAATATCAGCAGTTATTTGATCATAAGATGATCTAAAATTCTAATAAACTCAAATAACTATTTATTTTA